TCATGGAAGTCTCCACCAACAATGACAGGTTGGAAAGGAGGTTTGCGGCTATGGAAGAAATGATGAAGAAACTATTGGAGATGAAGACCAATCCGGAGACATCGGAAGTGAGAGAGACTACTGACGGCCATGACGACGGTCCCTGTTCTAGCTCTTCCAGACTTTGATCAGTCTTTTGTAGTAGAGACAGATGCCTCAGGATATGGGTTAGGGGCGGTGTTGATGCAGAATCACAGGCCAGTAGCGTACTTCAGTCAAGTGCTTTCAGCCAGAGCTAGATTGAAGTCAGTGATTAAAAACTTAAAAAAAAAAAAGTTAAAGAAACAGACTAGACAAACGTATTCTTGAAAAACAAAAAGAGAAATCCCAAACAAATCCCCTAGCTTCCCAAAAGATTACTTTTTATGGATCTTAACTTTCTTGCCTAATTAACTAATGAACTAATTAGTTGATTTTGATATATTTATTACCATTGTGATAGTTTACAATAATTGTATGAAGTTACAATAATATTCATGGTAGTCATTCAATCAAATCATATACGTAACATAAAACCATTTTACTAAATAGCCACAACTTTTACAACACTAAAAAAGTTAAAACAACGATCTTAATATGATTTTATCAACAATCATTTGTTTTACTCAATAACAAAAATAGCATAGCATCCATTTGTTACGCCGGCCCAGGAGGGGCCGGCTGGACCAGTCCAACCCGGACCGGTCCACTGTTACTCCAGGCGGAGAAACAGACGGGGCGGAAAAACGTGAGGTCCACGTAGGCAGCTTGGGGGGAGATTAGGAGGGAAATTTTGAATGAGAAGGCTGTTTTAGGAAGTTTATTATTGTCCTTTATGATTAATTTTGTATAATTAGGAGTTTGGGGGGGAATTTGAATCTTATCTTGAATTTGAGTTTTCTCTTTGAGATATAGGTTTTGTTTTGGGCTCTTGGCTTCGCCAGAGACTTTGGAGAGTACGTTCTTCCTCTCGAATTGAAGAACAAATTGTATCTTTGCAATTTTATTCGTCTACTAATAAAATACTAGCGTTGCTTGCGTTGGATCTCAGTTTTCTCGCGTTTCCTCACTGTTTCCTGCAAAAAAACTGCTGTCCACTGCTGGAGACAGCAGTTTTTCCCTGGTTCCGCTTCAGTTTTGGGGTAGGAATTACTTGATTTCAAGTATTTCCTATCAGAAACTCTAAGGGTAATTATGTTGAGCACTCTTAGGAAATGTGCCTTATGAGAAAATTGCACCAAAAGAATAAAATCATAAGGCTTTTTAAACCAAAGAAAATAATATCTCAATAGATAGAGTTCAGATTTTTGCCAAATGATATAAGCATAAAACATCTGGAAGACGAGAACAGTGCCAGTGACATGCTTATACCACTTTATAAATATAAAAAACTTCAAGCCAAACATTGTCGTGAACAGAAAAAAGATTTCCTCATATCAATTTATCATCTGATACCTGAGACCGCTTTTTCATGGCTTCAGTTTTAGATCCAGTCCCTGCATGTGAAAGAAATCAAATGTTGTATAAATTTGACTTGCAGACTGCCTGAAGCACAGAATAATGAATTTTAACTTTCTTAAATGCATACTATTGCATGTTAACTATATTGAGGTCGGTCTTCAAATTTTCAGATTCATAACATCAAGCGAAGAAGTTTAAAAAAAATAGTCTATGGTTTTCAATGTAGATTGAACTTAAATATTATATGAAAAAATAATTTGGACACCAGATACCCACCACTCTTTCCACGAGACTTCTTGCCTTTGTTGCTCGAAGTTTTCGCCTGAAAAAAATAAAGAAAATTAAACCATGAAAAAATGCCTTAGCTTCCAAAGACTGACTTTCATTGAAAAGCTGTGCAGGTGCCAATTAAAAAAATGGCCAATGTCATGTATCGTGCGGTAAGCTGTTTGGGCATGTAGTTGGTTTCACATTTTTAACCACAGTGCAGTAAATTAGCAAAAAAAGGATAGAAACAATAGAAACTTCACACAATACGTCAGGAACCAATTTTCAAAGCAATTGTGCATGACAAGTTCAAGCCATTGAACAGAAGCAAAGAAAATGTACAACTTTGATGCTTTTGTCAATGCACAACTTTGTACATCACAGATGCGTTCGAGGGTTGTTTAGCTTCAATGCTCAATACACAAAATGAAATCAAATGGTTAGAAAAGTAGAGGTATACCTAAAAAGACTTGGTTAGAAAATATTAGAAATGGTTTTTCTTTATTAGATTTAAATGAGAATTTGACTTTTAACCAGACACAATGGCGAAAAAGGATTCATGTAGCCGACCCCACGTAGTGGGACAAAGGCTTGATGTTGTTGTTGTTTTGTTGTTGTATTCATTATGTTAAATGGTTTAATATTGTTGTGCGTGGATGATTAAAATTTTGTAAACTGTTCTAAATGTCAGATTCTTATTAGTTGTATGAATTTTAATCATTGCTGAAAGTTTATATTTTTGCACACAATTTTTCTTGTAGGATCTCAATTTTTTACAATAATCACAATATTGCAATAAATGAAAGAAATGTGTTCTTTATTTTCTAATTAAAGGCAACTAATTTTTACAAAATTTAAGAGTTGATAACCTATGGATTGTAGTTTTTTTATGTCTTAAGTGTGCATCACTGCATCTCATCTTAGGTTGCACTAGCAAGACCATCATCATACAGCAGTATCTCATTTAAATTAAAATTCATGCATATATGCATCTTATTCAAAGCTAATTACAATTCAAGATACTATTATTTTTAAGTTTAAAAAAAATCTAACTAGATCAGAGTCTATTAATCTCTCCTCTCTGGACATAACTAATTTATATAATCTCATTTTTGCCTTCCTTAGTATCAAACGGCTGTATTAATCATCAAAATTTATAGCTAAAACAATGAAAATTTGAGATATTTATAATTAAAAGTGTATTTTGTTGACACAATATTTCTAATGATAAAAAAATATATGATTGGTGAATCAAATGCTTCATCTTAAGCGATTTCAAGGCTATGTGATGGCATTTCTTTTATGTTTCACATTAAGCTTCAAAAGCGTGCACTTCAATGTGCATTACATAACACATCTTCGTACATAATTTAACCAAAGAAAATATTAACAAGGTTCCTTACCATCACTGCATCAGTCTTTTCCTTTGCAAGAAGCCGCTGCCTCTTACCACTAGGACCTGGTAGTATTAAAGATGACCATAATAAAACAAGCACATATTTATCTGTCTTGAGCTGACTTTAAGGATTTAGCAGAATAAAAAAATGAACCTTCAAGAAAAGCTTTCTAGAAAAGTTACTTTTTGTCCCAAGAGTATCATCCTCGGTCCGCTTAGATTTCTGAAAATATTAAGATAAAAAATAAATTAAACAAAAAAATTATAAAGCAAAAAACAGAAAGCAGATTTTGTAGATCCATAAAATATCATATAATCAAAAGAGACAACACATGGATACAAAAAATTCATACGAGGACATCGTACAGGACAGCTCAAATAGAAAAGCATGCAGTGCAATTATATAACTGCTGAAAGTATAAAAACGGTTGAATCATCACAGACATCATCATAAAGAGATGTATAATTTAAAATAAGGATTGCCACATTACAAAAGTAATTCTGAAAAAGAAAAAACAAGATACACTAAAATTCAAGTGAGGCAAAAAATTAAAGCGAAAAGTGATCCAATCCTGACATATGTGCAGCAAAACTAGCTGTCTAATAAAAAACAAGCTATGACCAAAACACCCAAACGTTACACAAAGCATACAAACTACAAGAACCTTGCTTACTAATGAAGCCGCTCATTCGAATTTCAACTTTTTTTGTTCACAAGGTTTTAGTTAGCCAATCCAAAATCATGAACCAAAAATGAAAGGAAGTTAATCAAGTAAATCTTCAATCCACAATTTATTTCAGAATCTGGACCTCTACAGGCAGTACATGAAACGTTAAGAAGAATTAATCTTCATCAAGAACAAACTTCATCTCATTCATGGACCTATAACTGTGAGTTCAAATTGCTGGTTGTTTTAAAACATCATTAAGAAGTTCAAAAAAGGGATAAATTCAGGCTTTCATCGTAAGTACCATATATGTTCCCAATTCTTTGAAAGGACTTTAATGTTATCTGATTTTCAAAACATTTTATCTCATCCTCTGCATAATTTCTTCATTTTAATTTTCTATCAATCATCTTGGAAAAGAAGGGCTTGGTTCTGCATGTGTCTCGCAAGAAGATACAACATCAAAGACTTTTTTAACGACCAGGCTATCTTTAAAAGGACGGGTATTAAAATCAACTAGTTTAGTATAAAGGAGGTTCCAACTATTGTAAAACAGAAATCGGTGAAAACAACTGTGAATTTTATCCAACAACTTCTGCAAGAAAAAAGACAACATTTCAAGTACATGTGGATTACTAGAGTAATTGAAAAAGAAGGGCACCTGCCCAAGCAGTGCAACCTGAAATGAAAAGCTAATGGTGGCCTACTTGTCTAGTCTTGATTTAGAATTATGTTAACCTCAATTTTGGTGAGGTCAACATTTTATCATCTCCTAGAATTCTTCTAGAAGTTAGCCCTCCCTAAGTGTAGAAGTCACCCCTATGATTCTTCTTAGGTGGACGCCTAAATGATCAATCAATTATCCAAAGTTGAGTCCTACAACTAAAAAAAATTAAGACAAAAAATAAATTAAAAAACTTTGATCATTTAAATATTCAAATTTATATGGAAGTAGTTGCAAAATTATTTGAATCACTAATATGAATTAAAGATACAAACACAAGCAAATCTCCATTAAAACATAAAGTGCAAGTCAATTGTCACCAATATTGTCCTAGTCTAGCCAGAATAGTTAGTAGTTATGAAAAAAAAAATCAATATAACTTGAAATCATTAAAAAAAATTTCAAAAGAAATATTTTGACATAACATTTGCGATCACTATAAAAACCACTTAATGCTACAATAACATATATGCAATAAACAATAACCAAAAAGAAGCAAACATAAATATTGTACAGATTCTAATACTCTATTCGCTTTTAATATCTCACCTTGTCAGCTACTTTTTCAAATAAGGAAGACAACCGAGCTTGAACTAGCTTCCCTTTTTTATTTGGAGATTTTCTAGAAGACTTTTGCAAGGTTTGCTTTGCTTCTTCAGCTAAATTTTCTTTTGTGACGATGGCATCATTCTCAGGAGAACAAACAATTGGTCCTACTACACCGAAATCATCTCTAGGTGCTATCAATTAAGGAAATTTCTAAAATCATGGAAGGGGATAACAATGAACTAAGAATTAAAAATGCATGTAGCACTTGGTAAAATATACAGGTGGTCCAAAAAAAACATCAATATAGATTAAAAGTAAAATATGGATATTTCTTAAAGCAGGACTATTGGCTTTTGTATCAGCTTCAGCATTGATCCTCAACTCATCCACTTCAATTGCCTCAGTATCACTATCAGCTGAATCCTTCTCAGAAGATGATTCTGCATAACTAACACTGCCACAAAATTTGAACACAAAATAATAAAAGAAAGAAAACTGTTTTTATTTTATTTTATTTCATTTTTATTTTATTTTGCTTTTGATATAAGCAAAGTAACATACAAAGCAAGCTTGAAAACATACCAATACAAACAGATGCCATAATAATTCTATCCAACAAAATATCTATGAACCGTAAACATCAAGTACCTAATGTCATCAGCAAAAAAGTCCACATCTAAAAACACTATCCAATTAGTATGGTGTATGCACACTATCCAATTAGTATGGTGCATGCAACATGAAATCATAAAAAGACAACATAGAGATACTAGCCAAATCAAAGGGAGTAGCATTAGGAAAACGACAAATGACCAAAATGCACCCTGAACTTTTTAAGCCTATCCATTTTAATCACAGAGACATTCAATTTATTTCTTTAACCAACAAAATTTGAACCAATTAAGTTCTACCATCAACTTGGTCATTACTTTGGATGAAAATTGATGGAGATATGTTTTCCATTAGTATACTTTTTAGGGTTATTCTCATTACTTAATATCAGCTTAAACTAATGAATTAACCCTAAAAACAACAAATGCCCTCAGGAAAAGCTTTGCTCCACCAATTTCCATCCAATAAAACAACAAAATTAATAGTAGAACCAAATTAGTTCAAATTTGATGAGTTAAGGGGCTAAATTGAACACTAAAAAATCTAAAATTAAAATAGACACACATAAAAAGTCTAGGAATTATTTTGGCCATTTACTCATGAGAAAAAGATGGGTCTGATATAAAAAGGTTATGAAGTTACATAGTATGCAATCTACTTTCAAATATATCAAAACATGCGTGATGGCTAAATTGATAGAGGTCCACAAAGAAAGGAGACCAAAATCTATATTAACTTTTTGTATATCCAACAAGAAATCAAATACATGAAATTAAAGAAGAATCTCATAAACATTTTGGTAACAAATGGATTACAATCACTGTGTTTTGATTATTATTCAAGCTTAAGACAACAAAGTGAGCATTTGAATGAAATTTTTTTACTATTAGAATAATGCATATAAAAGGAAAAATGAAAAGATTATCAGTTAATGATAGAAAAAAAGCAATTATTGAGTTTTTATCACATCATCTAAGCAGAATAATAAACTTGTTAATATTTTTGTGCTACCACTACAATGCCATTATTATAATTGACAGATATGGTAATCTAATGGAATTGAGCAACTGTTATAACTTCAGCATCACATCTCAACAGAGAAATAATTAAAATAGACACAATAATTAATTAGAATCTGCAGTTTTACCAAAAAGCAAAATAATTCACAGGACTAGAAATGATAGCAATGATAGCAGAAGGATTTATATGGCCAACCCAAACAATCAGGGGTAGACCAAAATTCACTTGGCTAGATATTGTGAATACAATAACAATAACATTTAATGTAGCCCAACATAAATAATTGGAGAAGAAAATTTAATAGAGGCAATCCCAAAAGTTATATAAGAAACTGATTCAAATGTCTCTGATTTAAAACAAATGAATTGCAGTATATATATATATATATAGTTTTTTTTTAAACTAAGTATCGTTTAAATTTTAATTAAGTGATTAACCAACGAAAAAAAAAATTAGCTGGCCAAAATCGTACGTTTAATGGGCAACTTTTCTATATTAAGATAAGTTGCCCGTTAAACAGGCAACTTATGCTGATTAGGCTAAGCTAAATCAAGTAGCCGTGACAAATAACGAAAAAAGGTGATTATCAATAAGACGCCCGTTTAACAGGAGACTTACTATAAGTCGTCCGTTTAACGGGGACTTATCCTTGTTAATTAAAAAAACAAAATCATATTTTTATGAATACTATTCAATGCATATTTTATGAGTTGTGTTGTTAAATCAAATCTACGAAGTTGTATTGTCAAATCATTTTATATTGACAGATCATTATGTATTGTCAAATCACTTTATAATAACAGATTATTGTGTATTGTCATATCAGTTTGTAATGATATCTTGTGACCTTAGTTCCCCTAATCTCACATGAGGGTAGAAACATGCAGTGGAGTGGTACACCCAGATGAATTTCTAACCAATTAATTATTACGTTAACTCATTTACTCATGTCAAATCAGATATTTTTTATTCCTAGTCAATTAATTATTGCACCTATACCCAGATGAAGTTCTCTTATAAATTAATAATTCTTTCCTTGTTATGATCAAAGTAACTAGCACCCAAAATATTTATATCAAAATGTATCAAACTAGAAAGTATCAGATTGAAAAAATTACTTTGAAGCAATTGATTATGAAGGGTAGCAGTCGAGTTTATAGATATTTAGCATTTATAACTGATGATGCATTAGTGGAGAATGCTAAAAAAATTATTATCAATGAACTTCTTAAGTTTTATGATTGTCTACGTATATGTCTGTATTATGAAAATGTACGTGCTTGCTTGTTATAGGTTACTAGCACAATCTATGAAAGTTCTAAGAATGTGAAAGTCCTTCAACACTTTTGTAGTACGATGCGAGTGCGAGCTTAGAGTTAGATTTGTGTAGGATAGCAATCAAATTTCTATTTAAACCAATGTTGGATGCATTATCAGTCCACTACATTAAGAAAGTCCTTCCTCTGTCTACCAGGCATAAAACTCAAATTCTCGTATGTCTTGATCAGGAATGCATAAGCCTTAGTATCTCATTCCCGATAAAGGATACAGTGAGCAATATCAGCCGACGTTGGGTTGTCCACCATCTCCTTGAACGATCCATCTTCATGGCGTTTAATTTTAACAAATCTAGCCTTCAGCGTTTTAATCGACGCTAAATGTGATGCATGTTGTGAAACCTCCCTTTGCATATATTTTCAACCGTCCTCATTCAAACCCGCTCCATACCTGTAAGATGGATATCTCATAAGATCTATGTGTGTCTCTCATAACATGTAGTCATCCTTATCTGATCATGAATCTATACAACATCGATAGATATGATTTGTTATATCCTTCTCATCTAATGTATCATCAATTGTAAATGTTTAACATCTATGAACTCGACTGCTACCCTCCATAATCAATTGCTTCAAAGAATTTTTTTCAATCTGATACTTTTGGCTCGATACATTTAGATATGAATGCAGGATATTAGTTACTTTGATCCTAACAAGAATATGATTGTCAATTTATAGAAGAACTCCATCTAGATAGATGTGCAAAAATTAATTGATCAAAAATAAAAAAATGGCTGATTTTACATGACTAAATGAGTTGACAACGCAATAACTAATTGGTCAGAAATTTATCTAGGTGTACCACTGTATTGCATGTTTCTACTATCATGCGAGATTGGGAGAATCAATGTCACAAGATATCATTATAAACTAATATGACAACAGACACTAAGTTGTCATTATAAAGTGATTTGACAACAAATAATGATATGTCAATATAAAATGATTTGACAATACAACTTTGTAGATTTGATTTGATAACACAACTCAGAAAAAATGCATTGAATAGTACTTATAATTTTTTTTAATTAACAATGGTAAGTCGTCCGTTTAACGGGCGAGGGCGACTTATTGGTAATCATATTTTTTTGTTATTTGTCTATAATGGCTACCTAACTTAGCTTAGTCTAATCATTATAAGTCGCCCATTTAACGGGTGACTTATCTTAATATAGAAAAGTTGCACATTAAATGAGCGACTTTGGCGAGCTTAGAATTTTTTTATGTTGGTTAATCACTTAATTAAAATTTAAACGATACTTAATTAAAAAAAAACCCATATATATATATATATATATATAGACACACACACACACACACACATACATACATACATAAAAACTAGTAACTTTTTCTTACTTCAATGTTTTTCTTGATGTCCTTGCAGACTGTCGAAGAGGAGTTGTTTCAATAGGCATCTTTGCATCCTTGCTAATGACAGTAGAAAAATCGTCAGATCCATCAGACTCAAGTTCATTATCAGGAGAAGGTGGATTCACATATTCCTTCCCACTTTTTTGACCACCAGATGCTTCATCATATGTTGCCCCAGCACCACCCTTGAAGTCATAATCACAATCCTTTCCCTTATGCAACAATATTTATAAACAAATACAGTTCTATAAAAACAAAACAAGGAAACAATAAAGCTAGCAAACCTCCTTTAAGTCCTTAGGAAACTCAAGCTGGTATTCCTCAGGATTTTTCTCCTTTTGCCCAATCCACCATGCCTCAGAAAAGACAATCTACTATAAAATAATTAAATTACCCAGATGGACAAGAATAACTACCATAATGAAACGTTATGCAAAAGTCAAGTGAAAGAATGACCTTGTATGATTCACAATTAAATGAAAAAAAAAAAAATTCCAGGAGTAATCCAGCCCAAAAATGTTGGCTTTAAGAACAGGAATAAAGGTGTTTCATGCACATCATTGCAAATTTCTAGTTAAGCAAAGAACAAGCTTAGACACAATATTACATTTCTACAAGCTTCTTAGTAATGTTGAGGAAATACAGCATTCCGATATGAAAATGACTTGGGCTTTGTCCAACTTTAAAGTTCACCTTAAAATAATTACAAGGCAATTTAAATTGTAAGGGAAAGAGCAATTGAAAATAAAATGATAAAAAATAGATTGATATTCTCACAAATCAAAGAGAGGATGGAAGGAGCAGGGACTTGGAAATTTATACAGAATGGCGTATCTCAAAGTAATTATGGTGCAACTGACTTCCTAAGGCAGAAAGCCAAATAAAATCTCAAAGTTCTCCTTCTATGTGACTATATGCAAATACAAATACTTCAAGAAGTATATATATATATATATATATATATCATCAAATAAAACATTTTGATAAGACAATCATAGTAAAAACCAGAGAGCAACTGTTAAACGTGTGAATGAGCCAAATGGAATTCTTTCATTAAAAATAAATAGTAAGTTTCCGGTGCCCCTAAAACACTGATTCTGCAGTACACAATCTCATGAAGTTTCCCCTTCCAGTTCTGATCCAAAAAACCTAATCCGCCTTTGGCTTTAGTCTTTTTTTTTTTTTCGTTTCATCTTCCCGTAAAAAATCGCCACCTGTCGCACTAGACAGAAAAACATTTATGTTGAAAAAATAAAGCTCAAGTCAGGAGCAATTACCAAACTCTCAAAAACATCCTCGCACATAACCCCTTTCGCCGACTTGGTGAGCTGCAGCGTTAAGTACTTGTTCTTCGGATAAACATGGGTGCCAAACAGCTTCATCCGTCCCTAACTCACGGAAATAGATAAAATTCAAAATATTTCAAGAAACCCTTGCGAAAAGGGAAGAAAGCGGATTCTAGAGCTGAACAGATAAACTACCTGCGGGAACTCAAGGTAAAGGACTGGATTTTTGGTAGCGAGGTCCGCGAGATCGCCGATCTTACCGCCGGTAAGCGGGGCGATAAGGCCCGGAAAAGAGAAGAGATAACGGCTTTTTCGTTGACCCCGCTTCACTATGTCGCGGCCCTGAAGCTTAACAACGGCCTTCGAGGGCTCGAGAGGGGCAGAGGCATTCGCCGGCGAGCGGCGGAGGATTTTTTTTGAGACGGCTAGGGATCTCAGCCTCTTCTTCTCCTCGGACTCGGGATCGCCGGCAGGCCGAGCTTTCTCGTCCTGTTGGGCTTTCCTCCCCATGGTTGTTCGTCGCCGTAAATCGAAAGGCGCGGCCGGGAAGTAGAGCGTGATTCAGAGCAAGGAAATTTTATTTGTTCTGTCACCGCATAGCTACGTTCGGCCTGCACTACATCGCGCCTACTTATTTGTGAATTTTGTTGGGCAATAATCAGAAATATAATTATGTGAAGATAAATATCGAGCAATATCGTGTTTTTTTTAGAAAAATTTGGTCGGTATTATTCGATATTGGTCTCCACATAGCGGTATTTCTCGTTATTGTCAAGCAATACCGAGCAAATACCGGATAACTCAATGGTGACTGCAAGTAAGCTACGTCCAGTCACCGGACCTAATAATTGTTCAAGAGCAAAGGGCTGTTTCAGCGCAAGTAGTATTCAACCCAAATTGCATTAAATTTTTTTTTTATTAAATTTTGAAAATTATTATATATGATAAAATTAACTAAATTTAGATAAATTGTTTATTTATTTATTTCAAAATTTAGATTAGAAGTTTAGAACATCTTATTATATTTACATTATTTATATCAACCTTAGAGAGGATCATCTTAGATCATTTGATCACATAAAATATTAATCTTGACTCTCTTTGGGAATTATAATATATAATATTAAATCTCAAAATTGTTCCATAAATATTTAAAAATAAATTTTGAGGGTGAGCAAAATCAATTTTTTAGGTGAGGACAAAATCTCAGAAATCAATCCTCATTCTAATACCTATTAGCTTTTTAATATTACTTGTACCTGCTTTTTCAATAAGGAAGACAACGAGCTTGAACTAGCTTCCTTTTTTATTTGAAATTTTTGAAGACTTTTGCAAAGGTTGTTTGCTTCTTCAGCTATAATTTTTCTTTTTGTGACGATGGATCAATTCTCAGGAAAAAACAATTGGTCTACTGACAGAATATCTCTAGGTGCTATCATTAAGTGAAATTTTCTAAAATATGGAAGGGATATACAAGAACTAAGAATTTAGAAAAATGCATGCTGACTTGGTAAAATTATACAGGTGGTCAACAAAATAACTCAAATAATAGATTAAAAGTAAAGATATGGATATTTTAAAGCAGGACTATTGGTTTGTGTATCAGCTTCGCATTAGAGTGCTCAACTCATCACTTCAATTGACTCGTATCACTATCAGCTGAATCTTCTAGAGATGATTTCGCATACTAACACTGCCACAAATTTGAACACAAATATAAGAAGAAAACTGTTTTTTATTTATTTTTTCTTTATTTTTATTTTAATTTTTGCTTTTGATATAAGCCAAAGTAAAAATACAAAGCAGCTTGAACATACAATACAAACAGATGCCAATAATTTCTATCCAACAAATATCTATGAACGTAAACTCAAGTATAATGTCATCAGAAAAAAGTACATTAAAGATATCAATTGAGTATGGTTGGTTGCACAATCCAATTAGTATGGTGGCATGCAACATGAATCATAAAAGACAATGAGTACTAGCCAAATCAGGGAGAGCATTAGGAAAACGAAAAATGACAAAATGCACCTGAACTTTTTTTAAGCCTATCCATTTTAATTCACAGAGATGTTCAGTTTATTTCTTTTACCCAGCAACTTATAAACCAAATAGTTCTACAGTCAACTTGGTAATTATTTGGATGAAAATTGATGGAGATAAGTTTTCCATTAGTATACTTTTAGGGTCATTCTCATTATTAATATCAGCTTAACTAATGGTTTACGCCAAAAAAAACAATTTCCAATCCATAAAAAAACAAAATTAATAGTAGACCAATTAGTTTTAAATTTGCGAGTTTAAGGGGCTAATTGAAGCATAAAAATTAAAATTAAACAGACACACTAAAGTCTAGGAATTTTTTGGTCATTTACTCATGGGAAAAAGATAGGTTCGATGTGCTGAATTATGAAAATGGTTGTGAAGTTCAATAGTATATATGCATTCTATCTTTCAAATATCAACATACGTTGATGGCTGAATGTGATAGTGGTCACGAAGAAAGGAGACCAATTATATTAATTTTTGTACATACCACAAGAAATGAAATACATGAAATAAAGAGAATCTCATTAACACTTTTGGTAACATAAATGGATTACAATCAATGTGTTTGATTATTTTAAGCTTCAAGAAAACAAGTGATCCATTTGAATAATTTTTTTACTATTAGAATAATGCATATAACAGGAAATGAAAAGATATATCAGTTTTTATGAATAGAAAAAAATTTAATTGAGTTTTATCAGATCTTAAGCTGAATAAATAGACATGTTAATATTTTTTGTTTTGCTAATTACAATGCCATTATTATAATTGACAGATATGGTAATCTAATGGAATTGAGGCAACTGTTATAACTTGAGATACATTCAACAGAAAATAATTAAAATAGCCAATAATAAATAGAATTGCAGTTTTTACCAAAGAAAAGAATTACGGACTAGAAATGATAGCAATGATGGAGAAGGATTTATATGGCCCAACATAGGGGTAGAAAAATTCATTTGGCTAGATATTGTGAATACAATAAATAAATTTTGTAGTCCAACATAAATAATTCGAGAAGAAAATTTATAATAGAGGAAATCCAAAAGTTATTAGAAACTGATTAAATTCTCTGATTTAAAAAAATGGATTGAGTATATATATATATATATATATAATATATAGTATGGTAGGGAGATTTATTATAACCGAATAATAAATTAAAGTGACGTATAACTACTATTATATAATATATATATTATGGTTTTTTTTTAAATAAGTGGTCGTTTAAATTGTTAATTGATGATTAACCACGAAAAAAAAAATACTGGCCAAAATCGCAGCGTTTAATGGACACTTTTCTATATTAAGATAAGTTGCCGTTAATATAGCAACTTTATGCTGATTAGGTCTAAGCCTAATAGTAGCCGTTATAGCAAATAGAAGATCTAGGCATTATTTGTGCAGCACAGCCAGCTCTCTCACGCGCAGCGTTGAGTAAGATGAGAGAAGTCGTTCGTATATTAACGGGGACGATTATCTGTTATTAAAAAAATCATAATTTTTATGAGTATATTCAATGCATTTTTTATGGTTGTGTTTGTTTAATCAAATCTACGAAGTTGTATTGTCAATCATTTTATATTGCAGATATTATGTATTTGTCAATCATTTTATAAGATTATTGTGTGTTGTCATATCAGTTGTATGATATATTGTGCGTTTAGTTCCCTATCTAATGAGGGTAGAAAATGCAGTGGAGTGGTAACAGATGAATTTCTAACCAAATTAATTATTACGTTAACTCATTTAGGTCTGTCAATAGATATTTTTTATTCTTAGTCAAATTATTATTGGTACCTATACCCAGATGAAGTTCTTTTATAATTATAATTCTTTCCTTGTTATGATCAAAGTAACTAGTACCAAAATATTTATATCAAATTATAAACTAGAAAAGTATCGATTGAAAAAATTATTTGAATGCATTGAATTAATGAAGGGTAAGCAATCAAGTTTATAGATATTTAGCATTTATACGATGATGCATTAGTGGAGATGTAAAAAAATATTATCAATGAACTTCTTAGTTTTTATGATTGTCTACGTATATGTCTGTATATTGAAAATGTACGTGCTTGCTTGTTATACGGTTTCTAGCACAATATATGAAGTTCTAAAGATTGTGAAGTCCTTCAACACTTTGTAGTACGATGCGAGTGGAGCTTTAGAGTTAGATTTGTGTGGATAGCCACCAATTTTCTATTTAAACCAATGTTGGATGCATTATTGCAGTCCTACATTAAGAAGTCTTCTCTGCTACACAGGCATAAAATCAATTCTCGTATGTCTTGAATCAGGAATGCATAACCATAGTATCTCATTCCCAGATAAAGGATCAGTGAGCATTATCAAGTCCAACGTTGGGGGATTTGTCCACCATCATCGCTTGAACGAGTCCATGCTTCATGGCGTTAATTTTTAACAAATCTGCCTTAGCGTTTTAATCGACGCTAATGTGAATGCTGTTGCGAAACATCCCTTTGCATATATTTTCACCGTTCATTCACAACGCTCCATCTGTAGATGGATATCTCATAGATTATGTGTGTCTCTCATTGCATGTAGTCATCCTTAGTCTGATCATGAATCTATCCACATGATAGATGATTTGTTATAATCCTTCTCATCTAATGTAAATCATCAGTTGTAATGTTTAACATTCTATGAACTCGACTGCTACTCCATTCAAATTGCTTCAAAGAATTTTTTTCAATCTGAATACTTTTGGCTCGATACATTTTAGATATGAATGCCAGGGATATTAGTTTTTACTTTGATCCTAACAGAATATGATTGTCAATTTATAAAGAACTATCCATCTAGATGATGTGCAAAAATTAATTGATCACAAAATAAAAAATGACTGATTTTAATGCCTCAATGAGTTTGAAACGCAATTAACTAATTGGTCAGAATTTATCTGGGTGTAAACACTGGTATTTGGCATGTTTTACTATCATGCGAGATTGGGAGAATAATGTCACAAGATATCATTATAAACTAATTGAAAAGCACTAAGTTTGTCATTTTATATAAGTGATTTGACAACAATAATGATATGTCAAATAAAATGATTTGACAATACAACCTTTGTAGATTTGATTTGATACACACTGAAAAAATGCATTGATAGTATTTATAATTTTTTTTTAATTAACAATGGTTAAGTCGTCCGTTTAAGTCGGGCGAGGGCGACTTATTGGTAATCATATTTTTTTTTGTTATTTGTCTATAATGGCTACTACTTAGCTTAGTTCTAATCATTATAAGTCCGCCCATTTAAACGGGTGCTTTATCTTAATATAGAAAGTTTGCACATTAATGAGGACTTTGGCGAGCTCAGAATTTTTTATGTTTGGTAATCACTTAGATTAAAATTTAAAACGCACTTAAGTTAAAAACAAATCCATATATTATATATATATTATATATTTATTTATATACACAACCACACCCACTACATACATCTAAAACTAGTACTTTTTCTTACTTCATGTTTTTCTTGATGTCCTGCAGACTGTCGAAGAGGAGTTGTTTCAT